TACTACCCCTATTTCTTATTTCATCATCTTTAGGTGTGTATTTCAACTCCCCACTCCTGTGAAATGAAAACATGACCATTCCTAGGCTTTCTTGTACCTTTCCTCCTCTCTTCCACAGTTTTGCTTTTATGTTATGGAGATTGTTAACATTTGCATTCTGGAACCACAACCAAGACCTCATGCTTTGTTCACAAGTTGTCTTTGAAAGTTGGAAACTAGTAAAGAGCTTTTATTTTATCTTAACTGTGTAAATATATGTCTTTCTCAGGCCAAGTAGAGGCTCAGATTAGTTTTCTGTAAAGGTTCAATATCAGGTCACTGATAGAGAAGAGTTTTAGTAGCAAGGCTAAATGGATTCTATTTTTTCTTTTATTTGCCATTAACTCTTTTTTGTTTGTTTGTTTGTTTAGAGGGGCAGAGGGAGAGGGAGAGAGAGCATCTTAGGCAGGCTCCATGCCCAGCATGGAGCACAGTGCGGGGCTCGATCTCACAACCCTGAGATTATGACCTAAGCCGAAATCAAGAGTTGGACACTTGACCAATAGAGCCACCCCAGGCCCCCCTGCGATTAACTCTTAAAAATCACATCAAATTTTAGTTTGGTTTAGTTAGTATTGATTTTTAGTTGATTCCCCTCCCCCAAGAGTTTATAATGGCCTTTCTTTTTTTGCTTGGATGATGTACCTTTATAAAATCCTTGAATGTGTCAAGGATTTATATTGTCTTCAATAAGCTATACTTCACAATGTTAAAAAAAAAAAATCTTGAATATTTCCATCCTCTCAACTGCACTGTTAGTGTGTGGAGTCTACCCTTCCCTCTATATTTCTCTCCCAGAGCGCTTTACCTTTCCTCCTCCAGGCTGAATGCACGAATATCATTCCAAGACTTTGCTATAATGCTTTACCAGTTGTGACATGTATTTCTTTCCTTTTTTCTTTTTCTTTTCTTTTCTTAGGGTTTCCAAATTCCTCCTTTTCTATATAGACAATAATTTTGTTTGTGAATAAAGATAGTTTTGTTTCTTCTTTTCAAATCTGGATGCCTTTTATTTCTTTTTCTTGCCTTGTTACACTGTCTATAGTTACAATCTTAAAAGAATTAGTAAGGGCAGACATCTTTGCCTTATTCCTGATTTTAGGGGGAAGGCATTCAGTCGATTACCATTCAGTATGATGTTAGCTCCAGGTTTGTTTGCTTGTTTGATGTTAAATACATTTATTGTGAACTAAAAATATGGAATGTGGGATGCCTGGGTGGCTCAGTCGGTTAAACAGCTGCCTTCGGCTCAGGTCATGATTGAGTCCTGCATCAGGTTCCCTGCTCAGCGGGGAGCCTGCTTCTCCCTTTGCCCCTCCCCCTGCTTGTGCACACACATTCTCTCACCCTCTCTCTTTTTTCTATCTCTCTGGCAAATAAATAAATAAAATCTTTTAAAAAAATAAAATATGGAATGGTTCACAAATTTTTGTGTCATCCTTGTGCTGGAGCCATGCAATCATCTCTGTATCATTCCACTTTTAGTATATGTGCTGCTGAAGTGAGCACAGCTCCAGGTTTTTAATAGATGCTCTTTATCAGGTCAAGAAATTTCCCTTCTGTATTTCAATTGCTGAGAGCATTTATCAGGAATGACAGATTACTTCTCTGCACCTATTGAGATGATCATATGTTTGTCTTTTAAGTCTGTTAATGTGGTAAAGTACACTGAATTTTGAATGTTAAACTAATCTTGTGTTCCTGGCATAAGTTCCTATATCCTCATGATACATTATTTTTGTATGATGAATATAATTTGTTAATATCTACCTATCTATCTATCTATCTCTATCTATCTATCTATCTATCTATCTATCTATCTATCTATCTATCTATCTATCTCTATGCTCATAAATCATGAAGAATACTGGTCTATCCTTTTCTTTTCCTGTAATGTCTCCATCTGGCTTTGGCATCAGAGTAATACTGACTTCTAGAATGAGTTGGGAAGTAATGTCTTCCATCTTCTGGAAGAGTTTTTGTGGATTTGTTATTATTTCTTCCTTAAATGAATTACAGAATTCCGCAGTGAAGGCATCTGCAGCTGGAGTTTTCTTTGTGGGAAATTTTTTAACCACAAATTCAATTTTTTAAATAGATATGGAGCTAGTGGAGTTATCTATCTCTTCTTGAATAAGATTTAAAGTTTGTGCCTGTTAAGGAATTTGTCCATTTAACTTGTTGAACTTACTGGCATAAAGTTTTTCATAATATTAACTTATTATCTTTTTTAAAAAATTTATTTATTTATTTAAGGGAGAGAGAGAGAGAGAGAGCATGAGCCAGGGGAAGCAGCAGAGGGAGAGGGAGAAGCAGACTCCCTGCTGAGCAGGGAGCCTGACGGGGGGCTCGATCCCAGCACTATGGGATCATGACCTGAGCTGAAGGCAGACGCTTAACTGACTGAGCCACTCAGGTGCCCACTTATTATCTTTTTGATATCTGTAGAATCTGTAGTGATGGTACCTCTCTCAATACTGATATAGGTAATTCATGTCTTTTACCTTCCCCCCCCAATCAATTAGAGCAGGTTTATCCATTTTATTGATGTTTCTCAAAAAAACAGTTTTTCTCTATTGTTTTTCTTTTTTTTATTTTATTGGTTTTCAATCTAATCTTTATTATTTCTCTTCTCTGCTTAGTTGGATTTATCTGCTCTTCTTTTTTGAGTTCAAAGGGGTAGCTGAGGACATTAAGTCCCACCCTTACTTTCTACTGTAGGTGTATAGCATTATAAATTTCCCACAAAATTTTTTGTGCTTTCATTTTCATTAAGTTAAAAACACTTTCCAATTTTTCTTTTGATTTCTTCCTTGGACTATAGGCTGTTTTAAAGTATTTAATTCAGCTTCCAAATTTGGCGGGGGGGGGTATTTTCTAGATATCTTTATGCTATTCATTTCTGATTAAATTTCTTCAAAGTCAGAAAAAATACTTCATCTGATCTGAATATTTTCAATTTTATTGAGCCTTGTTTTATGGCCCCACATATGCCCTATCTTGACAAACCTATATATACTTAAAGAGAATCTTCATTCTATTGTTTTTGATAGAGTGTTCTAGCAATGACAATTAGGTCAAGTTGATTGATAATGGTATTTAAATCTTTTATATCCTTACTGATTTTCTATTTATTTGTTCTATCAATTATTGAGAGGGAGGTGTTGAAATCACCAACTATTATTGTGGATTTGCCTGTTGTTTTTTTTTTCCTTTGCCGTTCAATTAGTTTTTGTTTCATGTATTTTGAAATTATTAGGTGGATAAATATTTGGAATTGTTGTGTCCCTTGATGAACTGCCCCTAACCTTAGGTTCCTAACCTAAGGCATGCTCTAAGTGTTTGTGGAATTAATGAATTAATAAATAACTACTGATATTTTCCAAGGAGTTTGAGTGTGACTCTGGAAAATTCCTATAATTCCTCTAGACCAGTTTCCTCACTTTTAGAATGGGGAGGGGATAGTAATGGTGAATCTGGGGGGGTTAAGAGATTGAAGAGTGTTTTTCAAACCTTGCTATGGGGTACTCCACAGTTTTGCAGGGACACCCTCCCCAGGAGAGCTCCCTACCCACTGCCATCCCAGCAAGTAAGTAAGACTCTAGGTATTTTACATATTGACTTTTTATGTCAAGTTTCAGCTGATTTGAGGGCTCTGGCACTAAATGAAGTTTGAAAAGCACTGAATTAAACAACCTGTGAGATTATCCCAGCTCCAAGATTCTGAGTCTCCAAGGACCACTCCTCTCAGCCAAGGAGAATTATGAGAAAATGCCCCATAATGGTCAAAGCAAACACCAAAGATCTCAGTAGGAAAGCAGCACAATTCAGAGGAAGAGTCCCTGAGGCAAACAACCAGGAAACAGGCAGCTTTCTGTCATAGCTCTAGCTCGTAGGTCGTAGCTCTCCCACTGACTGGCCGAGAGACCTTGGGTGTGACCATCAGCATCTCTGCTCATGGTAGAGATACAGATTCTCATTCGGAGATTCTCAAAAGGAGCCTTTCTCAACTAGTATCTAAGGTTCTTCTTAATTGTGTGTATGTGTGTGTCCGTCTTTAAAAACGTCAACCATAACTTGGGCAATGACTGTGGCATTTCACTGATGATCCCACTGTTACATAGAACCTCATCAGATGTCCTGTCTGGGTTTCATTCACCTAGGACTTGGGTAGCAGGAAATATAAGGGTAGGAGTGGGGACCCCACGAGGGCAGATTGGCATAAATGAAGGCCTGGGGAAGGAAGAAAGTGCACAAAGTTTGGCAGAGACTTATGCAGGGGTGCAGAGAAGGGGGCGGTTATGTTGTTGGCCTCACATACACTTGGACTTAATTTGGAAGAAAATGGGGAGTCAGTGAAGAATGTGGAGCCGGACAGTGGCATGGTTAGGATGTGCTTCGGGGAAGTTAATTAAGTGTGGCTACAGGAACAAAGTGGAACAGAGAAATCTGGGAGGCAGAGGTATAAGTAGGGAAGGGATGCGCTGCCCAAGGATGGAATAAGGAATCAATAAAGCTCTGACTGATGAGGTTTGGGCTGCTTTACTTTCTCTTTCTGTTGTATTTTCCTTTTGTTTTTTTTTTCTTCTTTTTTTTAACACATTCTCTCTCTTTCTCCACACAAATTAAAATTAATATAATTATTATGTATTATATAAACATAAATATACAGTATTACATATTGTATAAAATTATAATTAAATTAATATACATTAAAGTTTTGAATATATGTAGTTCAGATAGCTTCAGATGTATATACACACACATATATGTATGTATATATATACACACACACACATATATATCATATATATAATTATATGAAATTAGAAAGGACCATAAAGCTATTGTCATAAACATAAATAAATGCCAGAATTGTCAAAAAGACAGAAGCGCTGATATTCTCCAAATGATAAATGCTGGTAAGCACTTCCAAGGTGAGATACCATATAATGCTTGTAACTCCAAAGACGGAAAAATATTCCTAACTAATGCTTCTGTTTTTTCATAAAGTAAGTCTTAAAATAGAGGCACATAGAACATGAGACTTCTGCCAGTTGTCACTTACAAAAATATAAAGCGGGTCATAATTTGGAGACACGGCTAAGGCCTCAGGTGGTTTCATGCCCAAGACTGAGGTCTTGCCAGGGAGCTGAGGTGTGGCGTCCTGCTTCGGCAGAGTTATGATGGTGGCTTCATCCTAGGAAGGGACCAAGAGGTGTGTTAGCCCTGATGCCAGGAAAAGGAGGGGAAACGCGAGAGCAGTTCTTAAAGGTGGGGATGCGCTACCTCAGCCCCTTGCTTCAGAGCTCGAGCAAGCTTTTGAGGTTTGTAGCTTGTTGACGACTTCTGGACACAGAATGGCTGATATCCTTTAATTTTGTACAGTTGAGGAACCTGAGGTCAAAGAAGACAACCGATTGAATGTTCTTAAACAGCCGTCACCGATTAATGGGATCTAATTCTCAAAAACCATACTTTTGAGTTGCCTGATGGTAAAAGTCCCAGACCTGCTCCGGGTCCCTGCCCTGGGTCCCCGTACACATGTTGGGCATCTGCAATTACTGTCCTCTACCACGGGGCCTACCTGTAGAAATACACTGAACACTGGTTTGTGGATTTGAAATATTTATATTTTCAAAACCAGGAGTGGCTATATACGTCAAGGAAGGCCAACTAACTTTTGCTTACTTCATCTTGTGTTTTCTCTTAAAGTTTCTAATATATGTAGTTCAGGTAGCTTCGTGAACTACATATATTAGTACATAATATATACTATATCGTATATCCACAGAGTAAAGGTCCTGGTCTCCAGAAACCATGTATGTTATAGCTCGCACGTACCATAAAATAACAGCAGAAAAATATACACAGTATGCTATGGTGTATAATGTTCAACAGAACAAAATTAATAAAATGGTACAATTCAAGTTCAAAAATATTTTGTTCACTTCACGAGAAACCCATTAAGGAACACCGTATGATGGGTCTGACCTGCAGACTGAAGAAGGAAAAATTCTGCTTGATTTGAGTTTCTGAAGGTTTAATTGGAACCAGTCCAAGGCCATCAGGAGCCTAAAATGTGGAAATTCAAAAACAGTGACACACGATCAACGCTGAGCAGAAGTCGCTGTGCTTCTGCTGTCACACATTCCGTAACCTTCCCGTGACCTCAGTTCTACCCGACGTGTGGGGCATGGAGGCCCTGGCCAACCTCTCCTCCTTGTCTCGTAGTGAATGGGATCCTTTTTTGTTTTCTACAGTTGTGGGTGCTGCCATGTGCCACCCAGAATCCCCTGTGGGCTGAAAGGATTCAGTCTCCCTACCTCGAGGAGTCCTGTTGACAGAAACAACTCTCAGGGGTCAGCCCTCTTCAGGAGCTGCCTCACTCCAGGTCATGTGCCCCTCCTAGGGCAGCGTGCCTCCACCCACGGTTGAAACAAAGATAGAAATGCCGGGTGCTCTCACCCGATCCCAGCTTCAGGGCTCCTCAGGAGTCCAACTGAGGCCTTTGTCCAGGATGGCTGTTCTCCTTCTCCCTGTCCACTCCAGCTCCCGCTGCCTCCCTTCCACAGGGGCTCATCCCCAAAGCACTGCTTTCCCACATGCCATCTGCCTCAGTCACCCAGATAACCTGGAACAGTGCCTGACATACTATGGACCCTCAATAAATACTGTGTTTTGCCTAATCTAAGACACCCTCATTAAATTAATATGCTGCATTCTTAATACACCATTGCTTATATGACATGTACCGATTTTGAAGTTGCTAAATACAAAAAGAATTGATGAAATAAACTACCTATGGAATGAATTACAAAATTCTTTAGAGACAGGAGTGCTGGGCATTCTGTCTTTCATCAATCCCGAGCAGCAGAGAAGTCTTTGTAGAACTAAGTAAGGCACCAGATGAATGTGTAAGATGGGAACTACTTAAAAATAATGAGATGGGCTGCACAGCACAGTGATCTATTCATCACTATCATCCTTTTCGACCCATTAGTAGTTACTAGTATTATTATCATTTAGAGAGAGGGGAGAGAGTGTGCTTGTGAGTGGGGGAGGGGAGGGGCAGAGGGAGAGAATCTTTTTTTTAAAGATTTATTTATTTTAGAGAGAGAGCATGTGAGCGGTGGCTGGGCGGGGGAGAGGGGGAGTGGCAGAGGGAGAGGGAGAGGGAAAGAAGCAGACTCCCTGATGAGCACAAAGCCCCATGCGGTGCTCAATCTCATGACCCTGAGATCATGACCTGAGCCAAAACCAAGAGTCGGGACGCTTAACCGACTGAGCTACCCAGGTGCCCCTCCACCCCATTGTGTTTATCAATGCTTGAAAATCACAGATTTATTATTCCCTAGGAACAACATAGTCTGATCTCTTAAGTCATTTGATGATCTAATGCAGAAAACACATGGAGTTTCTAAAGTTGGTCCTGCGATTCTTGAGTAGATTAACTTGCAATGTGTAACATATAATGTAGGATGTGCACAGCAAGTTTATTCTTTGAAACTAAAAATTAATTTGCATGTGCGCTTTCAACATCAATTTAAACATGCTTTTTATTGTTAACTACATGAGCTTAGGCAACCTTTTATTACCAGCCATGTGACCTTGTGTCTCAATTCCTTCCTCATCTATAAGATGATAAGCCTATCACATAGATTTGTCGAAGAGTAAATGCACTCATACAAGTGAAACACTTCAGGCACTGCCTAACTCATGGGAAGAGTTAGCTATTATTTTTATAGAGAAAGAGAGAGAAGTGAGTGTGAGCTGGGGGGAGGGGGGAAGGGCAGAGAGAGAGGGAGAGAAGAATACTAAGCAGGCTCCACGCCCAGCGTGTAGCCCAACATGGAGCTCGATCTCACAACCCTGAGATCACGACCCAAACCAAAATCAGGAGTCAGACGCTGAACCGACTGAGCCACCCAGGTGCCCCTTATTTTTATTTTAATGCATCACTGTGCCCAGAAGGCAAGAAAATGAACTGTCATACCTCTTGCCAGAGAGAGAGAACTGTGAGTCTCATGGGTTAGAGTATTAGATCCTGGGGCCACCCTTCTCTGGCCTCTCCATTTGCCCATAAAGCAGAAGGGTCCAGCTGAGCAGAGCCCGCCTCCCTAGGCCAGGCCCTCTCGGATTCTCCATCTGCCCCTTTGCTCTCAGGCCCTGTTCCTGGGCTGTCAGGAGGGGCTCTTGTTGGGTTCCAGGCTGGAAAGCACCCAGCCCAGGTTACCAGGGAGCTCGGCACAGGTGAATCAGGTGCCAGGCAGGTGGCAGTAGATGATTTCTGGTTTCCCATTGATCACAAGTCCCTGGGCACAGGTGTCCAGAGAGCCTCTCAGGAGGAAGCAAAGGAACAGAGACTGAGGTAGGTCTTGCCACGGATTCCACCTAACAACCATCTGATTGTGCCCAGTCCCCACCCCACAGCCTGACATCACCCACCAACTCGTTGGAGCTCTGAGGAGGACTGTAGGACGGGAAGGCGAAGGGCAGCACTTCCTTGGGCGATACAGAGAACCGGCTGGAATAATCGTCTTGACTGATCCGAGCCAGGAGGAATCTGGAGGCATTCTTGTCTGTGGGAACAAAAGAGCACTTTTGGGGAGTTCTTGGAGTATTTTTATGTGAAACCACCATCTTTAGTTTCATATTTGCCATACACCAATCAGTGGGCACTTGCCACACGCCATCTTGGAAGGAATATATATGTGTGTATGCATCCGGTCCCATTTCTAGTTTTCTTTTGTTCTTTATCCCACCCCTTCTCCAGTTTTTAAAGATTTATTTTTTACTTCCAAAAAACCTACAATTCATTAAGATGAAAGGATCTCTAATGAATATTCTTGGTCCTTGTCTGTAAAGAAAAAGATTACATTAAAAAAAAAGCACATGAAGACATTTCACAGGGGTCCATACATAATTCACAGATAAATTTTATAATATTTTAAACAAGCGTTTCTTCATTAGAAACATCAATACCGGACATAAGAATAACATAGGAGGGATTTTTTAAAAAGCATAATTAAAGAGCAGATAAAAAGGTTATGAAAAACAAAATACCCATCTGGATCTTGAAGGGGAGGAAGACAAGGAGCAGGTACTCAGGGCCTGAGCCTGGGACACCAGAGCTCCTTCTTCCCTTGGGGCCTTGTGGGTCTTGTGCCCCAGCCGTAGTTTGGGGGCACGATCTGTGAGGAGGGACAGGGTCCTGCTGGACGCCATGCCCAGCGGCTGTCGGGTGTGTCCACAGGGAAGGGCTGCACAGGCTGCTTGTCCTCTGCGGGCTCCAAGCCTGCTGTCCGCCAGGCCACCCCTTTGGTACCCCTTTGGTACACCCTCCTGTGGTGAAGCCCAGCCCACCCCTTTTTGGGATGAATGGCAAGTCTTTCCTTGCCTCTGATGATGGACTCAGTAAACAGCACTGGATCAGGCCAAAAAGAAGGAAAAAAAGGATTAAAATGCAATAAAATGTTTTGAAAAACAAAACAAAACAAAACCACCCAACTAGATTTTGAAGGAGAGGAAGAATGAAGAGCCAGGCTTGGGGCTCAGGCTAGGGAGGGCAGGCAGGGTTTGGAAGGATTGGGACCTGCCTGTGGGTCTACATATGAGCCGTGGGGCAGAGAAGATGGGTGATGGGAGCCCAAAAGCCACTGAGGTGTGCCTCCAACAGCCCAGTCAACCCAGGCATCCGAGGACTGGAATTCCTTTAAGTAGCAAAGATCATATGAGATAAAAAGCTTTATGTGCGGGGCGCCTGGGTGGCTCAGTCCGTTGAGTGGCCAACTCTTGATCTCAGGGTCGTGAGTTCAAGCCCTGTGTTGGGCTCCATGCTGGGCATGGAGTCTACTTAAAAAAAAAAAAAAAAAAGCTTTATGTGCAAATGCTAGACTGTGACAACACAAGATGTAGCCGGTGAGTCAACAAGTATGAATGTTGACCATCCTAGTCTCTCTGGTGACCAGAGAGAACCGAGGGCACAAAACAAGGGGTCAAACCACGGCCAAACTCCACAGCTGTCACAAGTTGGCTGGGTCAGCCGGGCTGGCTAACTATCAGTTGGGCAGGCATTTCAGCCAAACCTGGCCTGGAGGTCTGATTTATGGTCTGGGTAGGCCTCCTGATGGTGCCCCCCCAAAGATGCCCACATTCTGTCCCTGATAGCTGTGATTCTGTCACCTTCCATGACCAAAGAAAGGGACTTTGCCGGTATGATTAAATTAAGGATCTGGAGGTGGGGAGAGTGTCCTGGGTAGTCCAGGTGGGCGCAATGTTTTCACAGGATCCATGTGAGGAGGAGGCAGGAGGGCCAAAGTTAGAGGCAGCGATGTGACAACTCAAGCAGGGGGCAGAGTGATGTGAGGAAGGGACCTCTAGAAGCTGGAAAGGCCCGGAACAGACTTCTCCGCTGGGACCTCCAGAAGAAGCCAGCCCTGTTGACACCTTTGTTTTTAGACTGACTTCTGACCTCCGGCAATGTGAGACAACACATTTGTGTTGTTTAAAGCCTTTAAGTTTGTGCTGATTTGTTACAGTGGCCATAACAACAAACAAACAAACAAAAAACCTAATGGATGTGATTTATGAAAATATTTTACCTCTACACAGCTAACCTCCTTATACAGGAAAGTCATGCTCAGAGGACTTAGGGTCGAAACTTTGCTGCACTTGGCAGATGTGCTCTACCTGTTATTACTGACTGTCTTCCTCGGCTCGGCTTTCTGCTTATGGTCTCCTTGTCCATGTTATGAATAGCAGTCAGCATACTGATTAACCTTCGATGAACCATGACCTGGAATTAGAAGGGATGATTTCCAAGTATTCATTGGTACGTGCTCATTTTGGCATTCAACTTGATTCCCTTTCCCCAACCACGGCTAAGGGCTGAGGCCCCCGCTCTAAGTCAGAATGCACAGGGACCATGGCCCGCTGCCCTAGATGGAGGCCACGGGGACTTCAAGGTCTCGGCCATGTTGACTTGCCTGAATACAAAAAAAGACCAAGTTGTCATCTGGCCTTGTTCCACCCAATTTATGAGCCCTGTTTTTCTATTTCCAGAGTGGAAAAAATGACTAGTTCCACATTGCTTCTTTTCAGTGTATCTGAATAGCAATGCTCCCGCTGTGTTATTTTCAGAGTGGAGGGACCAAATAAACAGATGGTTCTGTAGGACTCGGGCTGTGGATTATGGGCAATGTTAACTGTATACCACTGTGCTTTGCGTTCGGAGCGCGTGCTACTGGACGGGCCTGGTACCTGTGCTCAAAGCTGTGGCAGAAGGGACCATTTCGTCCACGATGAATACCCCTTTCCATCCCGTAAGGGACTCTCATTTAACAAATAAATAGTATGAAGTGCCAATGCTGTGGCCTGTTCTGTTCAAGGCATAACAGAGTTGTTCCTGCGGGCACCGAACCGACGTTCTAAGTGTGTGTGTGTGCGTGTGTGTGTTCGGGGGGTGGTTACAATAAACATTTAAATGAATCAACAAGATAAATATCATGAAGAAAATAAAAGAGAGTAAATGCACGAGGGCATGACGGGGGTGGGGAGGCTGGGAAAGGGGGTGATCTGGCCACCGTTGCAAGGGTAATGACAGAAGACCTCACTGAGGAGGTGAGGTTTGATCTAAAACTGGAACGATGAGGAGAGAATGATCTGGGGAAGAGAATTCAGAGTAGAGGAACTAGCAACGATGAAGATCCCGCTTCAGGAAAAGATGAGACATGGTTAAGGGACAGAGAGAAGTCCAGAGTGAAAAAAGTTGTGCACTTCATCCAATTGCAATGGGAAGCCTTTGGAGGGGCTTACCAGGGGAGGGGTATCATTGCCTTCCAGCTTTGGGAATACTACTCTGGCTGTCATGGGGGCCTGGAAGCAGGAAGGGCAGGGAGAGTTGCACTGGTCCAGGCGGGGTGGGGGGGGCGGTGACGGGGCTGTGGCTGAGCTGGGGAGATGACAGGAAGTCATCAGGCTGGGGATGCATCTGCACCTTGATCTGACAGTCTTGCTGAGAGTGAGGGAAAGACTGAGCCATCGCTCAGTGCAAAGCACATAGCAGCTGACAATGCTTTTTTCACACTGGAGGGCTCAGCCCAGAAAGGCCAGGTGGTCCCACTTGTGGGGAAAAAAGTGGCCAGTCTCGCTGCTGTTGGCCCATTGTCAATAGCTGTGCCCTCCTCCCTCGGAGCACAGCTTCGCGCTGCCTCTTTCCACCACTTTCTTCCCCACGCTGAGCATCTTGTGGCCACCTCTGTTCTGAACATAGCAGCCCACCCAGACAGAGCCTCAGCAGGGACAGGGTCCCCCAGGGCCCTGGAGGTTGGTCACAGGTCACCGATCAGCGAGTTCTGCCTCTCTCCCCCTGGACTGTCCCCCGTCCAGACTGAAAACACTGCTCGATGGATAACCTGCAACATAAACTTCTCGAGTCCCTTATACATATTCGCCCAGTTAATCTTCACAACAACTCTGAGACAGGTCTTAATGTGATCTTCAGTTACGGAGGAGGAAACTAACAGAGGTTATATAACTTGTCCAAGATCAGAAAGCTCATAAGTGGCATCAAGAATTAGGGGCAGAAGGGCGCCTGGGTGGCTCAGTTGGTTAAGCGACTGCCTTCGGCTCAGGTCATGATCCTGGAGTCCCTGGATCGAGTCCCGC